GCTGAAAAGAAAATCTTTAACCTAACAAAGTAGCTTTATTATTTTTAGGAGGATTGGTATTGTACTTCTGAAACTATTTTATATGTATTGTAGGATGGAGCAAATGAGGAAATGTGTGGATGTTGGGACTGAGGGTCCTCACAGTGGGAGGAAGGAGAGATCTGTATAGAAAGAGGGCAAACACAGAGGAATGAATCCTGAGGTGATTTGAATCAGTGTGACTTTGTGACTTAAAAGAGATAAATTATATTCCTCAGTTCTACCTACTTGAAAAGTCTAGAGGCAGTAACACCCCATTGATCACAGCTAAGATGTATATCTTAGTGCCAAAATACCACTCCCCACTGAGAGCAACCAGAAATCCTTAGATAAGTGGTTGACTTCAGGTCTGGGGGAGAGGTATTACAAGGGTGGTTTAGAATATTTTGTTATGCCAGAAGCAAAGAAGACTAATGAGAACATGTCAGAAGAACCTAGAAGCCAACCTGAAGGGACTCCCAGCAGCCACAGATGAGGCAATGTGAGCACTGAAGAGAATTATAAGTAGTGCTGGACTTTAATAAAATGAATTAAAAAACAAAAAAAGGATCTGAGTCAGTAGGGATAATAAAAATGGGGAGGGGGATAGGGAGAGAAAACCCTTCTACAAGGAAGAATGCTAATTAATACATGTAGAGGGAAGGATAGATTTAAAATTCACTCTTTTGGAGATACCAGTGTAGTTAACTGACTCGGTGGAGATGGTCAGGGGGGCTAAGACCACTGGGGAACAGGGTACTTGCCAGACCTTACAGCACCTCTACATAGATTAGCTGATTTACAAAGGGACAAGGACCACACTTACAGTAGAGGGACCTGCGTAAGTGAGCAAATGCAGCATGTCCAGGGCTTCCTGACATTATGTAATTCTTAACTGACTGAGCCACCCAGGCACCCCAACATTACGTAATTCTTGATATGATACAGCGAAAAGTATGCATCACCAACTCATGGGGCATTTTTGCCAAAAATGTCCCATTTTCTGATATTGTCACATAAAATCATGCTTCGCGTGACTGGAAATGTGAATGTGGATTATTTGCTTGCTTATTTTTAAATTAATGTTAAACTTCTTAGATGTTCTATAGCGTTGCGGCTATGTAGGAGAATGTCCTTACCCTTAGGTAATGTATGCTCTTGAAGAGTTGAGAGATCAGATGTTGGGACTTCAGCAATTTACTTTTATTTTTTAGATTATATTATTTAAATGTATTTATTTTTGAAAGAGAGAGAGCACAAGCAGGCAAGGTGGGGGGTGGGGGCACAGAATCTGAAGCAGGCTCTGTGCTGACAGCAGAGAGCCTAATGCAGAGCTCGAACCCACAAACCATGAGATCACGACCTGAGCCAAAGCTGGACACTCAACCGAGCCACCCAGGCACCCCTGCAATTTACTTTTAAATACTTAAAAATATTATATGTACTTTTATATGTGATATCTCCATGTCATTCATACCATACATAGATACGAATAAGAAAATATAGCGCACTATTAACAGAATCTAGACAAAGGGTTCACAAGTCTTCTTTGTACTACTCTTAATTTTTCTATAGCTTTGAAACATTTCAAAATAAAATCTTGGGTATGAGTCACTGCACACAATATGCCTATTAGTGCCTGGCACAGGGTAGGTGCTCAATAAATGGTAGCCAAAGTGAAGCTATCATCAACACCGTTTTTCTCTTCCAAGGCCTCATACAGTCCATTTCATAATTGCAACTCCAGTCTGGGGAAAGGCAGAGAAGCAAGCATTAAATAAGTGAGCCCCGGTTTTGTCTGAGTCATCTGTGAAACAGGAAAAGTAAAGAACCTATTTAGTCTCCTAGCTGCTTCTTAACTGATGCAACAGGGCTCAGCGGCCATGGCTTCTTTTACCAGCCGCGGATTACTTCATAGGCCCTCAAAGGCACTGGGGTGCTGAAATTACAAATTCTGCAAATTCCCCGGAAGACGATTTCGTAGCACAGACAAAAGCAGCGTGAATGCAGTCAGCTCAATCCGAGAGGCTGCTCTTTGCCTCCCAGAGAGGGGTTTCACTTAATCAACCAGAGCCATGATCTATCCTCAAAGGTGGATGAGAAGCTCCAGAGAAATGGAGAAATGGTGCCTTTTCTCTCCTTAGGAGGAGGGGTACCTGATTGTGGCACATAGAGGAGCCTGTGTTCTTCTGAGGTCTTCCTTCAGCGCAGTGGTTCCTGAGGTGGGGCCTCAGGATCACTGCAAGACTGAGGACTAAGTCTTGGATGTTGGTGTTTTTAATATGATAATGTCCACGCATCTCTGTAGAGTAGGAATTGATGTTTTATTAATGGTGCTTAATTAAAGTTTAATTTCAAAGCATTGCTGCTCTCGAGTTACTCTGATAAAGGCTTTGTGATATTTTTCCCCACCCCTGGTGACAGGAAGGAGAAAAGGAGAGGCTGAGGCATGGCTTAAAGATGGGACTTGGGATTTGCTGTTGCTCATGTAGGTAATCCTCAAAATGCAGCCTGAGGTATGAAGAACATCCTGGAAAATATACCCTGAGCTGCTCTTGGGCCAAACCCTATCATTCAGGTTGAGTCCTGAATTTTCAAGTCGAGTTCCAACCGTGGTGGCTCCACCTTGTGTAATGACCTCTTGCCCCTGAACCACACTTCCTGTCATGCTTCTGCTTCTCAGATCAGGCACTGACCAGGTTACCACTCCCTGAGAGTCTAGGTCATATTTTCACCAACCAGTTGGGAGTGCGCATGGAAAGTTCTAGAGAGGATTCCTAAGGCAGGTTGTAGGTCTCTTGGCTGCTTGTGCTGTGGGATCCTTTGTCAAGACATATATATACATTTTTTTTTCTGTGATTTAATCCAAATGCGGCAGCCACAGTCATTGGAAACCTACAATCTGCTGGACAGTATTCTAATTTCTTTAGGTACCATCCCTTTCAATGAGCATGAAAACCCATCAGGTAGCCACTGTTTGCATCTTTGTTTGACAGGTGAGGAAATCGGGGTATTGATGGGTAAGCGGCTTGTCCTGGGGCTGGGGCTCCAGAGCCCACCTTCCATAGCAGCGCATCCCCTGTACCTGCCGAAGGAGGGGCTGTGCGTTTCTGTAACAACAGAGCCATCCAGGGAAAGGGCCACAGCTTCACCTGGAGCCGAACCTAGGGCCACAGCTCCTGGGCTGCAAACAGAAGCCCAGAGGAGACGCTCACCCCTCTACTGGGGGCTACATGAGAAGGGGTTCACAGGAAGCAGCGCGCTCAGGTCATCGGACAAGGCCGGTCCAGGGGAGACTGCGTCCACAGAGGACTGAGGTTCAATGCAAGGCAGGGAGGTGGGGACCAGGCGACAGGAGCTGGGTCTCCACTGCAGATCCTACCTGAAAAGCACAGTCTGCAGGGGCTGCAAAGGGTTGTTGCAATGATGAATTTAAAGCGGGGTCACGAGGGGTCTGCCACATAGGTGGGTTGTCAGGGGACAGGAGGAGCAGAAGCTGGCACAGTTTCCTCGGTCTCTTTAGGGGACACCGCAGCTGAGGATGTGGGTCTGGACCCCAGCAGGGGCCACCACTCTGGGTCCTTGGACTTGCTTAGGTGAAACACGAGTGCCAAGTGGGAATGCATGCAAGAGGCTCTGCCTTGAGGCGCTAAGGCCCACCTGGGTCAAGTGGAGGGACCTGCTTCATGGGGCTGACGATAGGGCTCTGATCCCACTCCTTCTGATCCCCATATACCATCTTTGTGCCCCGTGGCCTCTGTCCGCATGGGCAGATGGCCGACACTTCCTGAGAGTTTCCTCCCCAGTCATCCCTCTGCATCCCAACCCTAACCATGCTGACCGCTCCCTTCCCTGATCAGGAGCAAGAGTGACGTGACGCGTGGCCTGACCTGCAGACAAGGTCACAGTCCCCTTTGCTGGATGTGGCTTGAAGCTGCACCAAGTGTTATTCCAAGGAACTAAGAATGCCCTACAAGGCCAGAGATAGCCTGGCTGGAAGGAAAACTAAAACACAGCCATTGAAAAGTGTTTTCTAGATAAGTCCTAGAAGCAGCAAGTCCTGTCCTCCCATAAGTAAGGTTAACTGTTACAGTGGAGTTACATCCAACATGCAGGGGTGGGTCAGGGAAGGAACACCCAAGTCAGCTTGGGGCAGTCAGGGAAAGTTTCCTGGAGGAAGTAGCATGATGAAGATGAACAGAGCCTGCCCCACAGACTTGGAGGAGGGGCCATCCCAGTAGGAGAAACAGCATGGGCGACGACAGACGGTGGGGAGAGTGCTGTGTTCTCACTCTGTTCCGGGAGTCTCAAGGTAAGAGGTGTGTGGGGAGAGAAACTGCACAAAGTCGTTAGAACTTTGTGTAGGTAGGCGCGGGGGGGGGTTGATGGGAGGAAAAATGGAGGCTCCCAGGTTGACTTCAGGTCTTTATTTTGACTTACTGAATGCAGTTCAAGGACATGAGGAACATAGAGTGAGAAATCAATACAGAAGAGGAGATTGGTTCATTTTCAAATACTTCGAGTTTGAGATGCCTATAGGACATCGGGGTGAGTACTCGGGTCTGGGTGCATCCAACGTGTGTGCTAAATAATTTATATGTTTTTGTTTTTGATTTTTTTTTGGAATTTTTAGAGAATCTAGAGTTGTCTGACTCCCAGATTCAATGCACTTAATACAATTCAACAATGCCTCTCTGGAGGCACTGGTGTGGTTTAACACTGGACATAGAAGGTGCTATAAAGAGAAGAGGGATGGGGGTGCTGAAGGGTCAAAGCTGGGTGCACAGCTGTGTCTATGGGAACAGCGCCCTCTGGAGTTGTGCGACGCATAGCCTGTGTGGCTCTTCACTGAAGACCTTGGAGAAGAGGCAGACATAGAGGAGGAAAGGTGCAAGGAAAATGAACACCTCATCACTGACAGGAGTGGCCCCATGACAGGGGCCCCACACCCCACTCCCAAGGAAGCAGCTGCCCTCACTCACCATCCTCCTCCGTTTGCACCACCAGCTCCTCGCTCTCCATCCGGCCCTCGGGGTTGGACAGCAGGAGCCGCAGCCGGATGGTCATGAAGGGGCGCAGGCCCCGCAGTGTATAGTGGGACGAGGTCTGGATGACCTCTTCGGCCTCGTACTGCTGCTGGTTGAACACGTACTGGTACTGCACCGTGAGGTTGTAGCTGTGACAGCGGGTCACCGCATAGCCAAAGGGTTCCCACTGCAGGGTCAGCTGCCGGGCGCGGATGTCCACTATCTCCACGTTCTGCGGGCCGTGCACAGGGTCTGCAAGACACGCGTGCAAGACACAAGGCTTTGAGACTGTCAGGAAGCGGCGGGTGCATGTTCTGCTGAAACGGAGGAATAGCCCTCCAAACTTGTCTCAGCCACTGCCTACATGATTTTTGCCATATACCCTACCATTTAATTAACACTTTTCTATCAAACTTTTTTTCCTTACTTAAATGCGTGCATCTAAAAGATAATACTTGCCATACAGAATCGTTAACCATTTAAAAAATGCAAAATTGTTAAATTCTTAAAGGTTCAACAGGGCACTCCCGAAAACCACCCTGGGTCCCATGAACGGCACACACAACACTACAGGGATATACTTGTTTAGATGGTTGCTGCAGTTCTGACCTGCCTTATGTTTAATCCAGCCACACCCTCTCCCCTTGGGAAATCAGCCCCCTCTCTGCAGTTAACCGCACTGAGACGCACAGGCTGAAAATCCAGCCACATGCTCCGCACACAGCACTCAATCTGTCCACACGGTCACAGGTACCGCTGACTTCTTGCCATTTCCCCTCTTTCCACAGACAACACAACTTATTATTTCCGAGGCTCCAATGACAGTCCTCGACCATCTTTCTCTCCTCTCTGCATCTTTGCAAACAGGCCCCTCCAGAGACATCATTCTACAAGAAGATATGGTCATGACTTCACACCCTAATGCCATGTCCCACGCCTTCCTTCCCCACCCCCGTATATAACACTCACTGTCACATTTTATTAGGCATGTTCTGGGTTTACTTCATACAGATGTTTTGTACAAAACACATTGTAACAAACGAAACACTTAAAAAAAAATCCCCACATGTGAAGCTCATTCTATAAAGCTTAGGCATTTCTTATAAGAGAAGCACCGCTTCATTTGTGATGAACATCCCCATAAGCTCTTGTGCTAAATACCTTAGCTACCTTTAGCTGGACGTAGTTAAGCACAGATTAGAGGTTTATTCAGTATTTTCCCTCCACACTACCTATAGGATGTTACCAAGTTCTGTAATTTCTTTGGGTCCATTTTTTAATTTCATTTATAAAATGGTGATGTAACAAGTAGCTACTCTTGCTGGTGGCTAGTGGGGGGGGGGGCTACATGAAATGCTGTTTGCAGAGCAGTGAGACTTGTACTTGGAACTTAATAAGCACTCAAAATATGGTGGCTTTTCCTTTGCAGTGATAGCAACAGTGGTAAAAAATAATAATCATAAGGATTCGTACGCCATTTCAACTCTAAAAAAAAAAAGTCTTCTAAGTGGTAGTGCTGGGTAGCATCCTTATGCAAAATGATGGATTCTGTCACCCCTCTGGTCCTCTCGAGCATTTAGGGGTAAGGCTGTCTCTGTTCCAATGCAGCAGAAAGAAAGAGGGAAGGACTCAAAGAAAGCTGAGTTCCCAGATCTGTCCTTGTGGGGAAAATGTCCTGTTGATTTGTATCAGAGTCTTGGCAGAGGAACATACTTCAAAGCAGTCTTCTTTTAAAAAGGATGCCCAAAAATGTCAGTGCGCCGGGTAAACAGGCCCAGACCTGCTCACACACTGCTGGGGACGGTGAGCAGCAGCCTGGCTCTGGAAAGAAGGAGGAGTTCACGGTCACTCGTGCAGCCCAATTATTAACATTCACAAGTCCTTTGTGTAAAAGAGAGCTAGCGTTCCAAAAGCAAATGGGTGACTTTGAAAATGTGACATTGAACAAGCTGTTGCTGAGGGTCCACTGTGCTGAGTCCACACAGGATAGAAGGTGAAAGTGTGGTCACAGTAGTGAGGGAGGGGCGACGGTTATGATCTAGTGTGGCCGCCTGGTTTAACAAGTCCTGATGGCATGAGAACAAATGTACGTACAGGCACAGGGTGAGCGAGAAGCTACTTGCCGGGGAGGTCTGCGCATGCCCACCAGCCTTGCCCCACCCACAGCCTTTCTGAAAGTTCAGACCCCGGAACTCTCCTGGCAGGGAGGCCACCCATCCCTGCTCAAGACCCCATGACACTCATCCTCCGGGTGTGCCAAAATGGACACCACACCCCAGTCAGATAATTGCTCTCATAGCTCTTTCACCTCATCTTAGAGTAAGAACAGGGACACTTAAGATCCTTTTAAATCCAAGACTTGTCCATTTGGTTAAACAACTTTAAATGTACCTCAGCCCATGTTAAAAAAATTTTTTTTGAAACTTCAATGTGCCCCTAAGGCACAAATGAGACAATAAAAGCAAAACACCAGTTGATGGCCGGTAGCCACGGTGCTGGGTGCTATCACTTGCATCATCTTGCGACTCTGGAAGGGAGGGACTGACTGCCAGCCCCACTTCACAGTGGACTAAACTGAAGCCAGAGAGGCCCAGGAACGTCTCTAGAGTAGCAACAAGACTAGCAAATGGCAAAGTGGGGTTTTGAACTTGTGTCTATCTGACCACATGCCTAGGCTGCAAAGTCAGAAGACGTGCGTGACCAGAGTGGTCTGGAAAAAGAGGGCAGGTGCTTTGTATGCCCCCGAGGGAAATGGACCCTGCCTCTCCCACCTCTCTCCCTCTGAGGGCTGTCCTTCCCCTCCTTGCTGGACTTGGGCAATACTCTTTCCTGCTTTCACTCCCTGTTCACTTTGCCTCCTCTGTGCAGACGTCCTTGCTGAGTCCCTGGGTAGAGTATAGTGCCGGCATCTTTCTCCTCGTATTAACTGTTTCTTTCCGTATCCATCGTTTTCCACTGTGGCAGCTTTTTAAAAGTTGGCCCTGCTCACTAGGATATAAGCCCCATGAGAGCAGGGGTGCTGTCCACTCTTTACTGGAGCCCAAGCCCAGTCCAGAGACTAGCTCGGGAGAGCCTCAGGGAGTCTCAGGCCAATGGGTGCTGCGTTTTGTAGGCCTCACGGCCATCAGTGAGGAAAGCAGCTCTAGTCTTGTCCAAGAGGAAAACGAGCAAGGAAAACAAGCTCTGTGAGGGGAAATGACTAAAAAGCCGCACAGTAAGCGCACAGCTGAGGTCTGCAGCCTGTGAGGGTCCAGTGCCTCCCTCTGTGCTGGGCCATGATACCATGAGGCACTGAGACCAGGGAAAGGCATCAACGTGGGCACCCCACAGTCAGCAGTGATGCTGGGAGGAGGCCGCTGGGCCCTCAGGAGCTGGGGACCCGCTGGTGAGTGTGGGGCGGGACTCAATCACACTCAGAGCTGAGCTGACCACTGGCCTGTCTTCACACCTCCACTCTCCAGCTTCTCCAGAATTCTCCTCACAGCTCACCTGTGCAGGTATGCGCTCAAAACAACTTTCTGCTCCTCTTAAAGGAAGGAGCCGGCAGAGGTGCCTCTGCAAAGAGGGCAAGGGATGGTGCGGGCCTGCCACACAGCAGAGACTCCCTCCAGAGCGGGAAGGTCAGGGCACTGGGAAAGTCACTTGCTTCCTCTGAAGCACATGCCACTGTCATCAGACGGGCCGCGGGGATCAGTGGAACCCGGCAGAGCACAACTTGAAGCCAAACTCTGGCACTCACTAGCCGTGTGACCTTGGGCAAGGGCACTTATCTCTGAGCCTCCATTTCCTCTTCTATAAAGTGGAAATTATTGCACGAATCTCAGAGGGCTGTTAATGAGTATAAAATGAGCTGTAAAGGGAGAGAGAAAATTGCCTCTGTCTAACAGTGGGCATTCCTCTTAGAGAAAATGGCCTTTCTTGGAGAAATGCCTTAAGAAGTGTATTTGGAGCAGAAGCTGCATTCCCAGGGCCGTGGGATCAGTTGTGCTCAGCCTCCAGTGGAAGAGAAAAATGACTCCACTTGTTGCTAGTATTGAATAGGAAAGGATGTGGGCAAACAAGGCGGCAGAATGACACCTGGAGCACAGTGTGACTGTTTCCTGTGTGATTCCTAGCTCAGCAAGGCCCTCAAAATAACACAAAAGAGTTTGGACCTCCTGTGGATTCTAGAAAGGGCTGAGATCTGCATGCCTCCCTTGGGCCAATGAAACATCACTTGGGAACAAACACAGGGAACAGAGGCAGAGGGGACTTGGGAAACATGGCCATGTGTGTTACTGGTACTGTGAGACATGACTACGGGGGTTCCCAGATCCCGGAAAGTACGAAGCTCAAGGAAAGCTCCATTCCTGTGCACAAGGCAAGAAGACCTCTGGTAGACTTGTGGGTTAGACAGGTGTGGGTGAAAGTGTTTTGTAAGTTCAAGGACTCCCATTCTAGAAAGGTAAAGACAGTAGCTACTGCTTACATAGTAACTCTGGACTAGGTACCTGCAACCCTCTGGCATGGAAAATCTAGGTCAGTGAAGGGACGTGCCTAACCCAGGGCCACACAGCCAAGTCCCTGGCTCTGGGCTCGCACAGCACTTTGCACAGGTGTCCAGCCCACTCAGCATTTGTCGTGCTTTCTAGGAATTGCTTGTTCATTTATCTGTCACTCCTCCCGGGCTGCCAGGGACCACGTTCTGTTTGTCCAGCAACCCCAACACATGGTGCAGGGGCTGTTGAGGGGCCAGTTCATGTTTATTAAAACCAAGATGAACAGATGGTGACCTGTTCTCAGGAACTGAGCCTGGACCCTCTGACTCCGCAGTCCCAGTTTCATCCCCTCTGTGATGTCCCTGAGTCTTTAAGATGAACATATTTATTTTCGCATTCAAGCAAAAGAATATCCTGAAATCCGACACAACGAAAACTAGTTTTCAAAATGTGTGATAGAAGCATTCATGCCTTCAATCCGACCCCTCCCCCACCCAACCTCAGCCTTCAAGCTCCTCTCTGCTCTGATAATTGCCTGGAGCAGGGAGAATCTTGGGTTTGTACTCGATTTGGTGCAAACAAGTTGGAAATTGCTAAGAAAGCCTCGTGTGTGCAGTGGAGATTGGTTTGTTGAATTTACATTCCCCGTGTAAATATGTCCAAGCCTAGAGGCCTCCAGTTTCTGCCACCAGAAACCACACCCATATGACCTTCTTAAGTAACAGCCTCCAGGCCAATGGGAAGACAAACAGTGGGGAAAGAATGCGGTTTGTC